CCCCCCCCCCCCCCCCACAAAAAAAAAGGGGAGGACCATTTCTACCTCTTTTTATTTTTTTACCGAATTGGGTCAAAAATGTGCTGCAGTTTAATCATCAGGCAAACCGACTTTCATTTTTTTGTATATAACGCACAGGCAAAAACAAAAAGAAAGGAAAAAAAAAAAGTTTTATCACCATGTTAACTTACCATGGTTAAACAGAAAGTCCATCATTGTTCACTCCATGAGTCCATGGCCACACGCAACGTCGCAACCTTTTTTTTTTTTTTCATCACCAATTTGTTTCATACAATGCAGAGAGAGCTTCATACCTGTCCTCTTCCCTAAGACCAAGCGAAGCACCTTTTCTGATCATTTTTTAGCTGATCGGGATTCCATTGACCAAAAAAAAGACAAAAAACAAAACAAAAACAATGCAGAGCTTTGGTATGCAGAGCGCTAACCTCTACATCATTTTGTGTCGTCACGTTTATAAGCTTTCCCCTGTTGATGATGAACTGGAAAACACCACCCATCACAGCAACAAACACATTAGCAAGTTCGTAGAACTTTCTTCGTTACGTCATAGAACTTTCTTCGTTACGAGAACAGACCTCTTATGTGGAGCAAAAGGGCAAAAGCGCATTTCATTTCGATTTCCAGTACCCATACAAACTGTGAGAGCATGTATAATCCGAATACAAGACTTGAGCACACAACCAAACGGCTTGGAAGGCTAACACATAACCATAAGGCTAAGTGGGCTGGGGTGAAAGTGAAGCCCCAAGATGAGCACTTCACCCCACCCCAGTCTTTAAGCATAACATTTAAAAAAAAAAAAAAAAAAAAAAAGGCAAGAAGGGGGGAAAATTGGAAAAGACACACTGAACCATGGAACAAAAAGGGCTGCCGTCTTGGAACAACGCATAGTTTCAACGAAAGGCGGTCTGTATGTAGACTAAATGGTAACAAGCCAGCAAAAGCACATCTTCCAAGAAAATTAAATTAGGCCAAGTGCATCTTCAGAGAAAATTAGCCTAAATTCATACCTCCAGAAATTTGACAGGGGCCGCCGTCTGCGAGGCACTCATAGTTTCAACTTTCAACAAAATGGGATCTGTATCTAGACTGAATCTGAATGGAAACAAGCCAGCACGTGTGCATCTTCTGCAAAAATTAGCCTAAGTTCATACCCTCCAGCATTTTTCAGCGGCACACAGTTGCAACAAAAGGGGGTCTGTATCTAAACTGAATGGTACCAAGTACTACCAACCCAGCAAAAGAGCATCTTCTCAGATAATTACTAATTACTAATTACTAATTAGTAATTACTAATTAGACTAAGTTGTATCGTTCCAATTAAAAAAAAAAAAAAAAAAAAAAAAGGGAAATAAACAAAAATGGGAAAATTCCAATAAAAAAAAAAAAAAAAAAAAAAAAAAAAAATTAGCCTAAGTTCATACCCTCCAGCATTTTTTACAAGGGTCTTCTGTTTGGGAAGGAAAACCAGTTGTTGCTGCAAAAGGTGGTCTGTATCTAGACTTAATACAGACAAGCCAGCAAAAGTTCATCTCCTGAGAAAATTAGCCTAAGTTCATAACTTCATACCTCCAAAATTTTGCAGGGGGCTGCCGTCTGGGACCGAAGCATAGTTTCAACACCCTCTCTCCCAAAGATCTTGATTCTCCCATCACTGAGCGATGAAACATATGTCAAAGCATTTTTCAAGAAAAAAACAAATAAGATCAAAAATAATATTATTTCAACTTTCAAACAGATACATGATGAGATCCTCAAAACAAAAAAAAACAAAAAAAACTTTTCTTCCTATCTTCCATTCTTTTATTTTTTTTATCAACTAATCTTCCATTCTTGCTGTTTAAGTACGAGTCAGAAAATGGATGAACCGGGCATATTCATCAACTATAATATGCCAAGAAAGAAAGGGAAAAAAAAAAAAAAAAAACGGCGACGACCTTGAGATATCGATTGGAACAGACCGGCATCAGGCAATTCACAAGCATTTTTTAATATTTTTAATATCTTTATTCCATTTGTCTACTACCATCTGGATTCCAACTCACAATTATCATATTTAGCACAGACTATTCGAACAGCGTTTTGTCGATACCGTTTCCGAGGATACTAAGTTTTTTAGGTGCCTGTCGTCGTGCAGAGGGCTTTCACCTGTAATCTTCTGACGACTTTGGTGGACTGATTTGAACCAGTAGCTTCGCAATTGGGCCTACCTGTTCAGTCGGTAGACTACTTAGGATGCCTTTCGACAAGTTTTTTTGCGTGTTCGATCTGGCGACCTATTGGAATTGGTAATAGGGCCAGGGTACTGCCGGCCTTGGCTGACGAGTACTGGGCGCCGTTATATCTTTTTCGGACCAACTGGTTCAGGATACTGTCTACTGGGCTCTGTCTGACCTCCCTCTCTGCCTACAGAGACTGATAAGGAGTACGTACGAGTTCTTCGACCTCAAAATCAGGCCGACAGTACCCTGTCAGACAGAGCCCAGCAGACAGTATCCTGAATCCAGGGTACTGTCGGCCTCTCTGCCTACAGAGACTGATAAGGAGTACGTGCGAGTTCTTCGACCTCAAATTCAGGACTAGCATTACTGTTAGTCGCTGACACTAATGTTAGCGACGTGCGGTACGGAAGTGGATTGATGGTGAGTAGGTTCGAGTACGAGGGAGATGAAGGTGGATACCCCCCGGATGGCAACGTGGCGATTGCCAAAACGCGGCGTCGGGGACGCCTTTCCTGGACCTTGAATATATCTTTCCTCTTCTAATTGGTCACGTCAAAGATTTGTACGTGGTTCTTAGTGTTTGCTTTGGACACGAACTACTATCAGCTTTTGGGACTAAAGAACACACAACAACTATATTTCATCGGTTCATGGGTGTACCAACTGAGCTAGGTAGGCTCCTTGGTCATAGGCCACGTTGCCAGTGGATGCAGATTCTCAAATTATTTCTGTAAGATAGATGACAACAATTGGAGATTATTGGACAATTTTATCAAAAAAAAAATAAAAATAAAATGCTTTGGCTTTGAGAGATGGATGATCCAAAGCGCCATTAAAAACAAAACAAAAAAAAAGAGAACTCATAATGGCTTTTACTCCACAAGTTTTCAGAAAAAGCAACAGTAGAACTACCGTCTTCGCCGAATAGAATATTCTGTCATCATACCGCATCATCATCATCATCACAGATGAATCTGGGGCGACTTTCAGTCTAGATACAGCGCCTGTGCATTCTATTTGGGGAAACACGGTAGGAAGGTCCTTTCGACAGATGCAGTGCCCTACGCGGTGGCAGTCTGAGGTTCCTGGATTATTTTATTTTATTTTATTTTTCTAAAAGGAATTGGACAATTTCTCGATTTATCTAATGCCATCCTTGCACAGGGGCCATGCTAAATCTTCTTTCTCTGTATCGTTCTAGGCTCTACCAGAGTGGCCGGGGCAACTTGTCCGGCCCGGCCCAAAAAAAAAAGACTTTATTTTTTTATTTTTTTTAAAATTGGTAAGGAATTTCAATGTTACCCCAGAGTACAAAGTTGTTCACTTTATTTTTGTGCATCACATAGTTTTTAATTTTTTCCCCAGATTTTTTCGATTTTTTTTTTTTTTGCTGGGCTCTTCCCTGTTTCCTTGCACGGCCGGGCCGCCCGGTGAAACAAGCTGACCCACGTGGCCCAGCTGGTAGCCCAGGTTACTACTATCGTTCTATTTTTTAATGCATTTTCCGAAGGACGCGATACCTGGATTCGTTATTGAAGGGGTTAAGAGCTCAAAGGGTCACCTCCTCAAGAAAGTTAGAAACCCTTTCAGGGAATGAAAAGCAAAAAAAAAAAAAAAAAAAAAAATTGAAAAATTATAATATAAAATATAATAATATATATCGTCAAATAGAACTGCCCGGTAAACCGTAGGCAGAGAGGGAGAAGAGGACAACAAACGAGGGGCTGTGACAAACTGTTTCGTCGGAGTTTCACCGACTAATATTAAATTATAAATATTATAAAGTACAACAACGGCAGTAGGTTCCCATTAGTGTGGAGTAGGTTAAGAGTTCAAACTTCAAAATTCAAAGTACAAACACTTTTTTCTAAGTTTTTTTTTAAGTTTCTTTGGTTCTTTTTTTTCCTATCCATGTTGATTTTGAGAATACTATGCCTGCCAGGTGCATCACAGTACTCAATTGGGGACAGGACGTGAAGCGGCAGCTTGTAACGACACAGCCTTGAAGTAATATATCGTCAAACAGAGCTGCCTACGGTAAACCGTAGGCGGAAGAGAGGGAGGGAGAGGGAGAAGAGGACAACAAACGAGGGGCTGTGACAAACTATTTCGTCTGAGTTTCACTGACTCATCAGGAGGCTGAACCCTAATATATATTGTTCAGCCTCCTGATGAATCGGTCAAACTCCGATGAAACAGTTTGTCACAGCCCCTCGTTTGTTGTCCTCTTGTCCCTCCCTCCCTCTCTGCCTACGGTTTACCGTAGGCAGCTCTGTCTGACGATTCATCATATACATTAGTGTGGTGTAGGTCAAGAGCTCAAACCCTGTCCAAACTGAATGTTCAGAACGGTGGATCGAGAGGGATGCGTCGTACATTTTATTTATAAATAAAATATTAAATAAAATGTAGTGCAAGCGACTGTTGGTGACGACAAAGCCGTTAGGTAATTACTAATTACTAATATAATTTATTAATAAATATTAAATACCGGTGAAGTCTACGAAACTTAATGTTCAATGTTCCGAATGGTGAATCGAGGAGGATGCTGGTAGTACATTTATAATATTTATATTTACAGCAGCAGCAGCGTACCGTCTTCACCCGAATAGAACGCCCGGTCATTACCGCTGTATTTGGTGCACGTGTCAGTCCAGATACGGAAAAAATGACCAGGCGTTCTATTCGTAGCGAAATAGACACTGCAATGTGTGTTCAGAAATGCTGTAAATTTCAGAAAGCGACGATGGGCCTGATTCCCACCACGTGCTGCAGCGGGTAAAGAGCGGAGGATGTCCAGAGGACGAGGTGCTCAGCAGGGAAGATGCTTAGAAAAGGATTTATTTTTTAAATAAGAGAAGATGGGAGAATGGAGTAGGTGCAAACAACAGGATCGGTTTGAATCAGGATCGCGAGCGAACGCGAGGATTGCAATAGTCGACCAAGTCTGGACCACCAAACCACACAGGTTCTTGATACTTCTCAGAGGACTTAGGATTTACACACAGAGATCAGCTTCACTTGGACAGCAAAAGACTTTCTGATAGATTGCTAAGCAATTTGGATGCACGAAATTGAACACGTAGAAACGTACGTCTCCAAGATTGAACACATGGACCACAGATGAGCAACGGGTACCCATCTACAAGTGGAGAGCAATGCAAACACTCTTAGAGCAGATGAGTTTACTCTCTCTCTCTCTCTCTCTCTCTCTCTCTCTCTCTCTCTCTCTCTCTCTCTCTCTCTCGTATGCAAGATTGAACACAAGGACATCCCATGTACAAATGGAGACCAACGCAAACACTTAAGAGCAGATGAGTTTACTTTCTCTCTCTCTCTCTCTCTCTCTCTCTCTCTCACACACACACACACACACACACACACACACCTGATGAGTCGGTGAAAGTCCGACGAAACAGTCTGCCACAGTCATACTTTTTTTGAGTGTATAGCGAAAATATGA